TATTCTCATGCAACATAACTCCGTCACGTTAGCCTGGGCTTTTTCAGAAGTAGAAGATGCGATCGCTGGAATATGAAATTCATTTGCCAGACCCCGTTGGATTCTGTCTAGAACCCTCACGTGAGCCGCAAACTACTCGAATCATGGTTCTCAGGCCCACAGTCAGTCAACAAGCGCAATGACTTGCCGTTCGCATATTCGGTACCGAGACAGTGTCTGAGCAGGAGAAGCAGTCACGGCACGACAGCGAAGATAATTGTCGTGTAAGTACTAAGCCTGAAACCAATTCGGATGACGTAATCGCGGCCATTATTGACTCGGAAGCGGACTGCCAAGCTATCACCACATCAATAACGACCCCCCCAGCTGTGGTTATGGGAGCCGATAATTATACTGCGAATGCGGTCGCGTGGCCGCCACTACGAATTATCAATACTGCGCAATCTGTGCTAAAGTTGTAAATGTATCTATCAGGATGGTCAAGTATTAGTGGCCACAGTGAAAGCGGACAGTTATCCTCACAAAGCAGAAGAACTCTGGAAGACTAAAACCTTTAGGGAGAAATGAAAATATTGTTTTTACAAAATTTATTGGCAAAGCACAAGGAAACTCGCAAAAAAACTGAATGCTAAGGGCCTGAAGGGTTCTACGCCCACTGCACACCCCTATTTACATGACAAGTTGGGTTTTACCGCCCAGCACAGAAGGAAACTCCCTAGACTAACGGAAAAACAAATAAAACATAGGATTAGCTTCTGTAAGGTGTTCAGTAGGTGGACTGTAGACAACTCGAAACCAGTTTTCGTCTGGGATGAATCGCACTATATACTGTTCTATCTTCCCACACTCGAATGACGTTATTTGTGATGCATGCGTAACATGGTCGAGCATGTTGAATTTACACTGTTCAACCCTAAGGTCATGTTCAGGGGCGCTATATCTTTTGGAGGGCTTTGTGATCTCCATATTGTATCACGGTCAACGACTGACTCGTGAATACTATAGAGAGGAGATTCTAAAGCAAAACATGTTTAAAAGATTTGCGAAAATCGTTTGAGCAGGTCAAAATTTGAAAATAAACTTTTTCCGGACATTTCAAGGATTATGTTTATGCAGGACGGCGCCAAAGCTCATGCAGCTCTGGAGAGCCAATGGTTGTTGTCAGAGAAAATTATTTCTGGAGAAAAAACATATGGTCTGCAAATAGTCCCGACTTAAATCCAGTTGAAAATCTTTGGTCAATTGTCGGTAATGTGGTTCCCGAGAAAACTGTCTGCTCCTAATACTGTTGCTGGATTGGAGAGATCCCTGCTGGATTGCTTCGGAACAATCCCCTTGGAGATCCCTTTAGAATCCCATTAATTAGATGTCCTATAAGATAGGAACCGTTCTAAAGGTCAAACGTTTTATTAAATTCACGTCGCCCAGCGTGTCTCGTAGCTCAGTGGTAGAGCGTTGGCTGCGTAAAAGCCTTCTCTTCTGTACGGTTTCGACCCCCGCCGAGACCTAGAGTTTTTTTCACATTTGGGTCAACCAAAATAAGAAAGGACACATTAATTTAGAAATTGTAAGTTATAAAGGTACAAAGAATTTCGAGACACCTTTTAATTAGTAGAAGTTTGGGCAAATTTGAATACTCCCTTTGACAAACACAAAGGAAACATGGGACTGACCATTTCGGGCTGATTGGTCGTCATCAGTGAACCATGTCCAACCTCGGGTGCTATAGCGTCCGAAAGCCCTCTTATTGTCATCCCCTTAAATAAATTTCTCACTAATTGAAGCTTTGAGAATTAGCAGTAGCCATTGGCCTGGCATCCATTATTTGTCAGTCTAGATAATCTAGAACCTAACTGCATCCTTCACTGACAAAAGCATACCAAAAACTGAGCATAAACTCAATATTCATGGTCGCGGATAGCCATTCTCCACACCTTATGATTTGTCCTGCAGTTTATGAAAATTTTGTTTGTTGGACAATTAGTTGTCTTCCTTAATCCCTATTTCGGCAAGCGAATGTTATGCTTATTTTGGCTGGTGATAGTTACCGCCGACCACACTCTGATTCCCCTCTCCACCATCGAAGGTACCCAGAAGACCATGTTACACAAACATGTCGTCAGTTATGAACATGATTGCAAAGAGGGAATTTGAAGCATCACATCTCGGACTTTGTAGCACAGACGCAAAACACAGACGGAGCATTATATTTTATGAGTATACTTTTTATTAGCGCTCAACATCGTTTACAAAATCGATTGAGTAGCAGTTTTTTTCTACACTTTTAAGGAATCAGACAATGGAAAAACAGAAGGCGACTCGATGGCTGATAATTCTTCGTTAGTAGGTAAGCAGTAATTTGGTCTTTGCATTCTGTTGATACGCAAACTGAGGGTAAATCAGGAAATATTTATTCTTTTATTTGGAAACCTATAACTGCGAACTTCAATCGCTTATTTCTAATTCACTTTACCTGTCAGAGTTTGTAATAGTTGTTGCTAGTGCCTTACGGAAGCGTTTTTTCTCGGTCTACTTATAAGTTGATCAAGACACCAATCCCGAGAACGAAAACTGCTTAACATCAAAGGTTATTGTACGACGGCTGGCAAAATCTCCCATAGTCAGGAAAGGTAGGCGAGGAAATAAAATAGGCTTTATTCTGGAAGTATCATTCAAATGTATTAGCAGAATCGGTTCTATGCACTGTGACCAGAATGTAAACTAGAAAATAACGCTACGGTGCATAGGTAGGCATAGAATTGAACGTCTATTCCGTAACTGCTAAGTCCTCTGATATTGTTATGTTGTTAAAAGTCACGATGTTTGCCCTCCCAGACGCTTTGTTTCAATCCCTCAACGAGAACGAGGGGACGAGGGCGCAATAAAGAAAGTGTTTATTAGGTACCTAGTACAGTGTGTTGGAGCAAGCAAGGGTAACGAGCTCTCACCAATCAGATTGCCTCCTCGAGCGAGTAGCGACTCGAGTGGCTTCCGGATTCATCCGGCTGGCATGCTAGAGCCTTATGCCTAGCCGCAACTGCGCTCTGAATCACCACACGCTTTGTGTGTGGGCGCACCAATAGCTTGGTGTGAGAGCGTTTTGCCAGGGCTGCATGCGAGCAAGTCTGTTAGGACGGCTCCTAACATCAGTTTCGGTATTTCGGTCACTAGTTTTCCCTTTGTCCCTCTAGTTGATACAATAATAGAACGAAATTACATGACGGTCAACCAATTAGCTGACCGAATTTTGAATGGTGTTATCCATCAATTTTGCTATGAACTACTTGCTACGGAGTCGCTCCGCTTCATACACGGAGACATCCGACACATCTTCCGGGCCTATTTCTGTTTCATATTGCCATTTCTAACACGAAACAGAAATACAAAAGTAAGACTTGAACAGTCCCCATGATAGATGTTCATGGGTCACTTGTTAATTCAGCTGATCCAGTCAGTGAATAGAGTAATTTATGCCGGAAAGTTTAAAGTTTATTTTCAAACTAAAGCGTATTCGTCTCTATTCCCCTCGTAAGTTATCGATCTAGAAATTGTAGTTCGGAGCATGGTTTTATCGATTTTTTACAAGCGATACAGCGGAGGCCTTGGCGCATGGGACAGAAAGACTTTGCATCGATTTGTTTGTAATAAAGGGAGGGAAACCATCATCAGGGAATTGCTTGACCGTCATAAAATTTCATTAAGTTATGCCCTCGAGGAAAAAAACGAGAAAAACCCCCTATCAGCAACCGAGAGCATTCGGAATTCACGTTTGGTAAATGAGCATATTTTTCAAGCATATAAGCGAGAGTAACGAGAGCGCAATAAAAAAAGGAGGGGGAGTGCATGCATCTATAATTCTCCAGAATCGCGTGTTGAGCTGTGAAATCGGAGCGTAAATGTCACATTTTACGATTTCTGGGTCAAAAAGAAATGAAATGAAATGATGAAAGCGTAAACCAAAGTATCAGAAAAAGGTTTCCATCCCAGGAAAATGCCCATGAATTCACAAATGGGCGAAAGTCGCAGTCAAAACACGCCCACCGGACTGATTTTTGCTCCTAAGTTAGAGATCATTTTCAAACGGCCTTTGCACAGCCGTGATCCAAGCCATCGCTGAGAATTCGGAGGTAACTCTGACCTTAAGAAGTTGAGCAACAACCATATCCACGACCTGTAGGCAGTCTTTTGACGGTCGGAAGTCTTTAATGCGAAGGGATACTATATAGAACCTTGTAGGACTGCTAAAATATTGGGAAGAAAAGTTTATTTCCGTTTGCCCTACTGGAAGAATTGAATGCGGGAAATAAAATAACCCACAAAACAGCCTATCCTGAAGGGTGCCTTGGTAGGGGCGTGATGGCGCGTGAGTAGTCAGGAAATGCGCACGCGTCACACGACAACCTAGGTCCCTCAGGGCTGAGTAAAAGACAAGAGCAACCGCCTCCAGGGTACTAGGTAACTATGCAAATTTTTAGAGGGTAACTAAACTGGGAGACGAGTGGTATAATGGTTGCTAAGGTTACTCATGCAGTAAATTTCAGAAATGTGGAGGAGCCTGGAAATTGGTCGAAGAGATGTGAACTAACAGTCGTTTATATTTTTGAATAAAAATAGTTTTTACGCAGCGTTGGTGGTAAGACCGTTCAGCAAACCAGAGTGCTTTTATATTCATCAAACAAAAGGACTGCATAAATTACCTAGCTAGAAGCAGGGTTAAACTGTTGATTCATCACGAAACCTTTGATGATCCCTTAGATGCTCCCTTCGAATTGCCTCCGACTACTGAACCCTCCAACGAGACCTCCAAGGAACCAGAACGCGGAGCCATTCAAAGGCGAACGAAATTGCCGGCTCCGCAGCCGGATATCAGCAGATTCAGTCTGTTATCCCTACTTCGGAGGTTTGTTTCTGCACTTGTCTCTAAAACGTTCGCAGGTAGCCACATCGCCGAGGGTGCTCTTTTGGATTTTTCAATCTGATGAACCATCTATTGACCCTCAAAACTCTCAGCAACCGGCGTTTCTAGCGCTGTCTTTTTGTGGTGTACTATTATGTTGGAAGTGTGGCCACTTCCGTAATAATTCAACCTCACAGAAGAGCACGTGCGTGTTTCGGCCGCGCTGCATGCCACCAGCCTGCGCTTGACTGCGACCATCTTGGCTATAGCCATATGCCTTTCGTCAGATCTGATTGGTCGGCTCTTGTAGCACTTTCTCTTGAAGCGGATTGGACAGCATATGGGCCAATCTGAACGGGATGCTATAAATACAT